CCCCGGTAACTGGTGTCCGGTCAATGGTCAGCAGCAATGATGCTATTGCTGAAAATCATTCCGCTTCGTTCTATGTTGACGATGAAGTCAATCCATGATTATGGTTAGACTGTCGTCAAAAGCCATCTCTCCCTTCCTCCAACATTTCCAAAACATGACTGACGAACACTTTTCTGTCCCTATCCTGAGCGTTGGTGTACTTGTCTGCGCGTATGATTTGCCTTAAAGCGCCTTCCGAATCCTCACTATTTTACCGAGGAACAAATCGTCTTTTTCTTTGAAATATTGCGTTCACGCGCTCATGGCTCTCTACTGTATGGGTTTTTTATTGTGTCGGCCGTCGCAGCTCAATCCTGCTTTCTGTCACATCTCGTCTGCTTTTGCCAAATCATACATTTCGAACGGAATGATCCGTTTCGTCCTTTTTTGGTTTGATTTTCGCTTTCCTTACTTGCTAGACGGTGTCTAGGACCCCTTTACCAAAACCGCACTCTACAACAACTGCGGATGTCATTACTGCATCCCCGTGGAAGAACGTCGTTTTGCTATATTGTTACACGTCCTTACCCCACCCACACCTCCCCCCCCCCTCGAGTGTGCCCACGTGTCGCCATGGTGCTTTCCGGAAGGACGCTTATTTCTTCTCTTTTGTCTTCTGCCCATTTTTTTTAATCTGCGCGCGTCATCCTATCCGGTGTGTGTGTGTGTGTGTGCGCGCGCGCGCGCCCTGCTTCCCCCCTCAACCCATCGTTTGAGGATGTGTATCCGAGGGACCTTCTGTGCCAATTATTCACCCAACGATCCTCTTCCGCCTTCTCCCCAACGCCAGATCCCCTAGACACAATCCCATAGCCTGCACGCACACACACACACGTGCTCACGAACTCTTTACAACGCCTTCCGCCTTTTCAATCGTGAAAAATTTAATACAACTTTATATGCGGACACGCTTGATGCCGTGAAGGTGAGACTTTTGTCACATTCACCGCCCTTGTGTTAATAGGGGAGGGGAAGTCTTGTGGAAATCATAGTACTGGATGAGCTTTAATCTACGAAATCGAGTCCAACTTCTGCTTAGCAACAGTGGGTTGGTGACACTAGCACGAAGAAGTTTATTCTGTGCTAAGCGACTCGTCTGCTGCCTGGCCATACAAGCCTCCGGGGCCGGAGCTCCAATAGCTAACGCCGAGGTCGTGTGCTGAGCACAGACAATAAAATGTACAGGCACAAGAGCACAAACTGACACATGAAAGCAGCCCTTCTACGCCAATTCTGCGTCAAATTCATCAGTTTCTGCTCACAAACAGCGGCCGCATACAGTAGGTGGGCTAACTCATGAAATGTTTACCGAAATTTCGAAATGCGTCCTCGTTTCGAAAAGATTAATCAAGTAGGGTTGTAAAACTAATCATCATGCAGCATAATTCTATAATTATCCAGTTACCTCAGGGTGTCGGCTTTCCAATGAACTTATTTACGACTGCATGCAAGAGCCATACTCTGCAAAAAATGACTACTTAAGAAGCAAGCAATTCCCGCATTGATTTTAGATGTCTCCAGAAGTCCAATCATGTTTCATGAAAAAAAAGCATAGAAATATTTATTCTGTTGTTTATTCGGTAGAAGATCGCATCTTTTTCCAATTTTACACTCGAAGGCTGAGTATAATTCGGTTTTAAAAACATTCCCGAATAATTTTGAACCCGACCTGCTGTTACACTTGCGTTGAGGGTTTCAAAGCTACAAGCTGTACATTTTCCATGCACGGAAAACCATGCATTTCTCTACGGTATTAAGAGGAGACCATATGGGATTCATAAGATTAAGCAATGGATTTGAGCAATATTGCTAACTTTACAAGCCAAATCCGTAAATACACAGATATGACGTTTTATGGACGGGCATTTCACGGTATTAAAAAGTCCCACCATTAGAGACGTTTTTGAGACTGAATTATACCCTTCTTTCTAGTATAAAATTGGAAGAAGACGTGATTTTCTACCGAATAAGTAAAAGAATGAATATTTTATGCATGTTTTCGATGAAATATAATTGAATTTTCAAGGGCATCGAAAATCAATGAGAAAATTGCATGCTACTTAAGTAGTCATTTTTTGCGGAGTGTAGTTCTTGCATGCGGTAGTTAATAAGTTCATTCGAAAGCCGACATCCTGAGGTAACTGGATCATTATAGAATTATGCTGCATGATGATCAGTTTTACAACCATACTTGATTAATCTTTTCGAAACGAGGACGCATTTCGAAATTTTGGTTGATATTTCATGAGTTAGTCCACCTACTGTATGTTAAAGAATTCGGACAAAGGCCCTTTTTAATAGCATCTTCCTCGCCAACCAGTGTACTTTCGAACCGTATTTCCACCACCAGCATTCTAACTAGTGTTCTAACTTATACTTGAACGCCTAAGAAGGACTGTCTAGCGTCAATAGGCCCGTCGTACATTCGTCTTAGCTTACCAAGTGATGTGGTACTACGTTTAATGACCGTCAACGGACGGCTGGCGTGCTGGGAGGCGCCCGCGTGCACGTTTCGTGCTGCACACTTCAGGTAGGCCGCCTCCATGCAACCGTTGGAAGTTGCTCGGTTTAAGATAAGTTAAAATTAGTGATTTGAGGATTTAGAAAACTTCATCACCGAACTATACCTATTTTCATAGTCACACTTTCCTTTTATACCCTTATTTTCCTATCTTTCTAACGCGCCATCTAGGTCATCATATACTTCCATGCGCTTCTTACCGGGATGTATGCTTGCTGCCGAAGGCTCCGTTGAGAAACTGGATCTCTTTGCCCTCCTACTTCTTCAGAACCTTTTGGAGAAGTGTGGATCTATGGTGACTACACTTGAGTCTGCTAGATTTAAGAATACTTAAAAACAACCTACCATATATAGCTAAAATTGGACCGACCATACACCACATATCATCAGTCGCAGACAGAGCAAAACGACGCCCAGATATCCATATTACTGATGTGCCTCGCACAATTAGTTCAGCTCTAATTCGAAAAGCTATCCGCGTGCGCGCAGACCAAATATCCGAGTAGTTTTACCAAAAAGGCCCAAATCGAAGGATAAAATTAAACCAGTTTTTAAGTTCTGCGAATATTTTCATGTTACATTTGATAGGTCAAGTTGGCAAACACGTGTTTTCGGTAATTCATCATTAGGCTTATACAGTCACATAGCAATTGAAAATGTGAGGCGATCGCAGGGCTAATGAGTGTCTTTGTTGCCTGTTTATCTATACTCCGAGTTAGAGTAATCTATTAGCTAGTTCTTCAAATGAAAACAAAGAAGGCCCTGGCCGCAGAGCACCGCGCATAGAGTTCTCTAAACGATTAGTCCAAATCTTCCAGAAGCATTTGTGTAACCATCGAAAGTTAGGGTCCCAAACGTATTCAAGAATTGCTTCTCGGCCCGGATCCCGCAACCGATTGAGCTAGCAGCATTTCCCCTCAGTGAGATCTGCTTTAGTGGGGAAGGCGTTCAAACAGCCATCAGACAACTACCCAGCTCGACCTCGTTTGGCAGAGATGTAGTCTCCCATGCATAATGAAACAAGCTATTATGATCCAGAACTTCTTTCCAAGCTGTCCGCCTAACTTCAGTCGAATGCATTTTCCCCAGACATTTAGGGATGCTCCAGAACTGCTCCGATGTTTAAAAATGGGAATCGATTTGATGGCCTAAACTGTTGGTTTGTTCCTTGAACGCTGACAATCGCTAAAATATCGAAAAAAATAACTTATAATCGAATGTTGATTTATATTACAAACCCCGACTTCATACTCCCTCTCAGTACAGTTAGTGACCTAACTCATGAAATGTGTCTAAATTTACGAATGATTGTCAACCACTCGCAAACCGACATCATTTCATGAGTCAAAGGTCTATGGTAATTAAGTACAAGTTTAAACGAATTAAAAACATAAAAGGAACATTAAAGACAGTGTTTCGTTGTTTAGAAATTCCAATTTATTTTGAAAAGCGCAATATCCCGAAAACCTCAGAAGTGGGTCTATTTTAGTAAACTTCGCTTTTAAATGTATAGAATGTATTCTCATACTAAAAACAGTATATATGAAAGTAGACATAAAATAACGTCTATTAATAGTGTTTTAGTGAAGTTTACATCTAAACATCGTTTAAAAAGTAGTGTGATTTCTTATATGACGGTTTATCGACTGCTAACATTCTGAGTGTAGATTCCAAAACTGTTTTCCAGTAAGTATTGTTGTTTTTGGTTCACATGAAGTAAATAGGATGGGGTTCATTAAGAGAAGCTGGAATTTGCTTGATTTCACCGATTGGGACGTCGTAGGAACAAACGTTTTCATTAGGTGACATGCCATGAGGCCGGTCGGTGCCTAATAAATGTAAATAAAACCGGCAGGCATAGGAAATTGCCCGAATATAATCCAACGTCCATTTTGTTAAAATTTACTGATATTTTACCTGATATAATTACGTAGGCACAGTTTCTGCACAAGAAAAGGACATTTTATTGAAAGAAGTGGATGAGCAAACAAAATGCCCAACGCTAAAGACGTCCAGAAATTCTCTCATCAGATTCCGTTATCAGATTTCACGAGATAGGTCACGCACTGCATGTTTTGTTGCTTGGAACGTCGTGCTAGTCCTATAATCTCACTTTCCTGGAATTCATTTCCAGCAACAGGGACGATGGAAGGACAGTGGCCACAATATACTTCGATTTAAAAGAATTCTTAACAAATTTTACCACAACATGCAAATAATATTGTAAGAAATAAACCGGCCTATCGCGAGTAAAATTAGAAAGAACGAAATAAGCACCAGAACGCGGCGTGACGATAACTTTCTGTAGGAAGTCATGTCAAAGTTTTCTACAGATTGTATTTTTGACACAATAAAACAAAACGCCTTTTCATGTCATTACAATACTCCCCCTTCCAGGAAGAGTTCGAATGTGGAAAAGTGGGTGTGAATTTTGTAAGTTTCAGGCATGATGTACAAGTTGGTAACGATCAGGGAAACGGACACGACGACTGCTGCGCGTAGTGGGGTGGAATTGGGAGGAGAGGAGAATGAACAGAGTTATATGGTGGAAGCGGAGGCGGGGAGATCGAAGAAGGCATTTTGGCAGGTGAAGAAGGCTGATCTTTTGGGGTGGGCGATGGAGGGTCAGTATAGGCCACCTCCAACCGATCGGTAATACCACTTCGGTGTGATCGCCACGAACGATTTTGAAACGCTTCTCCGTGCGCGACAGGACTCGAAATGGTCCGTCGTACGGTCGTTGTGGTGACTTATAAACACTATCTACGCGGACAAACACAAAAGAACATGTTAGCAAGGTAGGGCCAATATATGACTTACTTACTGGAGCGCGTGGGGGTATGGCCCAGAGATTAACTATTGCTTGGCCCAACCGTTGGACATAATCGGTTGCATCCAGATCAGAAAAGGTCTGGGATGGGCCGAAAAAGTCGCCAGGAATCCGTAGGGCAGTCCCGTAAACAAGTTCGGCAGTGGAGCACTCCAAGTCAGGTTTTAGCGAGGTGCGGATACCGAGCATGACCGAAGGGAAATGCTCATTCCAATGAGTGAGGTTATCATAGTCCCGGAGCGAGGTCTTGAGTCCACGGTGGAAACGCCCAACTAGACCATTGAATGAGGGATGGTAAGCTGCCTTGCGTACGCGAGAGCACCCGAAGAGGTCTGTAAGGGCCTTAAGAAGTTTAGATTCAAATTACTGGCCACGGTCGGTGGTAATAGTAATGGGGACACCATTATAGGAAATCCAGTGTTTCAAAAAGGCACGAGCGTCAGTATCTGCAGCGACGTTTGGAATTGGAGTTGCGATGGGCCATCGCGTAAATTGGTCAATAACAGTTAGAAAATAGTTGCAACCACGGGATGTTGGCAAGGGACCCATGAGATCTACGTGCAAATGCACTAAACGTGTATCGGGCGCAAGAAAGGTCCCAGTTGGGTCTTTCTTGCGACGTCCGATTCTGGCTTTCTGACAGACCAAACACTGGCGAGTCCACAGGCGGATATCAGTGTTCATACTAGGCCAGACGAACCGGCCGCCGACGAGGCGCTGAGTAGCCTGGATGCCAGGGTGGGCAAGAGTGTGTAACGCTGTGAAAACATCTCGTCGGATCTCGCTTGGTACTATAGGACGAGAGAACTCGCGAGACACATCGCACAAGATTGTATTGGAGGTGGCGAACAGAGGGATGGCTTTATGCTGAAGGCTGGTATGTTCTGGTTCTTCAGAAAAATCCGGCTGCTGCTGCAGCTCGGCCATGCGCTCCGGATCGATGGGAAGGCGAGTAATGGCATTGATTCCAGGTCGGAATAGACACCCAGCGATCCGATTAGCGGGTCCTTTAAGAAATCGAATATGTATGGTATACTGAGAGATAAAATCAAGATGGCGAGCTTCACGGGACGAATACTTGTCAGAGGGAATGGAAAAGGCATAAGTAAGAGGTTTGTTGTCAGTGTAAACACAAAGCCCTCTGTCTTTATCGAAGTTACAAAAATTCTTAATGGCGAATATCAAAAATGCTATAACGAGCTTTTAGGAGTTGGGGGTTATTTGTCCGCACGCGACCTCGGAGGCGCAGTCCCTGTAAGAGAAACGGAAGAAGAATGCTGTCTAGCGTGGGTGTACATTAAAGTAACCAAGGGCGGGTTCCTAGTCACATCTCCGGCTGTTACAGCTGTCCTCCTGTCCGGCTCGCTCCGTCAATCCGCTGCTGGGACGCGCGAGGCTTGTTACTAGCCTTGCGAGTGCTCGAAGCCAATCAACGTTGCCCCTCTTCTGATTGGTTGGCGGACTCTGAGACATCGAAGGGCGCACACGCGCCGGGTCTGAGCACGTCGACGGAGGACGCAGCACGATTTGCCTGGAGAGACCGCTCGCGGCGACTGCTTGCAGAGCCTTTATGCAAGCACTTGCTCAGCAGTAAGGGTTGTTCAATCCAATCCGTCTTTCCTGACTTCTGATTTGGGAATCTTTGTCTGCCGACCACACCGCTTTCGACAGTAACATTAATTGAGCGCAGTGTGGGGTGAAGTGTCGGTAAAATTTGGCAAGACCTATGAAACGACACAGTTGCCCGAAAGAAGTGGGAGCGAGGAATTCGCGAATAGTTCAAACTTTAGCGTTTATGGGGTGTCAACATAAAACACCTTCCAGGTGTCCTGGGGACATGAGCGAGAGAAGGCTAAAAATGCATTTAGAGTTGACGAAAACGCCAAATGGGCTCAGCCTCTCAAGAATGAGACATATGTTGTAGCTGCTGATGTTCTTTGGAACTTGCAACCATAAGCTCAGCGACATAAACAAAATGGAAAGGTAAGTCACAGATGACCTTGTTAATGAAACGTTGAACATTCTGGGTGTAGTTACGGAGTCCAAAAGGCATCCTGACGAATTCGAAAAAACCGAATGGGGTCGTAATCGCCGTTTTTGGGATGTCTTCTGGAGCAACGGGGATTGGATAGAAGGCTTTTAATAGGTCAGTGCTTAAAAATATCGTTGCCCCGGCCAGGCTAGAGAAAACGTCATGGAGATGGAGAAGCAGATATCTGTCAGGGACAGTGAAGTTGTTTAATCGTCGACAATCACCACATGGACACCAGTCTGTGACAGACTTTTTGTAAACCATATGCAGAGGGGCGGCCCATGGACTAGTCGAGGGTCAAACTATGCCAAGCTGCATCATAAGGCTGATTTCAGCCTTGGCGATAGTTAACTTGTCAGCCGCTAAACGACGAGGACGGCTAAACTCAGGTGGTGCCGTAGTCGAAATATAATGCATGACGGGATTTTTAATAGCCTGGTCAAACTGTAAAGGCCGGGTAACAGTTCGAAATTCCGAAAGCAAACGATGATAAGGAGTGGGCAAACGAATTGTTAAAATGCATGGGCCAGGGGATGAAATGATACGAATTGAGCAATTAGAATACAAGGATGTCATCGGGCCGAGAAGTTTATGGGACCTGATATCAACGAGGAGACCGAAGAAGGATATAAAATTGGTGGCGAAAATAGCGGTATGAACATCAGCAATAGTAAATATCCTGCGGAAAGAACGTCGTAACCCAAGGTCTAAAGTTAGAAATAGTTAACAAAGTGTTTTACTGGGGGGACTACTAGCTGTCTGGAGAAAAAGTGAAGAGTTCGGTGACTTACGGTCAGTCAAAGAGGACAGAATCTGACCAATATCAGCACCAGTGTCTACGAGGAATTTTTGGAGGAACTCCTGTCGAAAATGTGGAGCAGGCAACTTTGGGAGGTTGGACTGACCAAGTTTGTCGCCGCTACTGGCTGGCAGGGGAGTTTTCTCCCGAAGATTTCCCACTACGACATGGGGGTTGGCAGTGATGGGCTTATAACGCATAGGTGTCGTGGTGCCAGCAGAAACCTCCTGGTGTGAACGGGGTTAATACTGCAGTGGGAGGCCTCCGACGGCGAGAAATGCATGAATTTTGAGGTCGAGAGACAGGTGAAGCACGAAACTGCGGAACTTCAAGTGTGAGGTCGTCTAGGCGTTTCATGACATCCTCGATTGTGGGCGCAGTTGTGCTACGACCAGCAACATTCACCGTAATAGGAGACCAGTGGTACTCGGGTATACAGTCAGTAGTCTCTGCGAGCATATGAAGAGTCGAAGAAGGGATGCTAGGCGCAAAGATAGCTTGCACAGAAGAGGGCAACCGTTGGAGGGAAAGTTGCTTGAACATGGTGACATCCAGCTTTTGTCCGTCCACCAGCTGCTTCAAACGCCTCAGAATTTGCGTAAGCTTCCTGTCACCAAGGTACTCCTCGGAAATCAAACGTTGCAGACGTTTTTGTGTTGATAGGGAAATGCGGAAGATGAGAGCCTACACTAGGGCAGTGAATGGGGCTTCTGTGGGCGGGCAGTCTATGACGTCGCGAAGGTAGGGAGCGCTGCCAAACGTAGGGAAAGTTCGTATCCTCTCTAGTAATCTGGCGGAGGGTGAACCAGGACTCTAAAACGCGCAGACACGACGCGATATCACCAAGCCACAGGACTAGAAGTTAAAAGGTGTAAATGCCGGCTATCAGCTGGCTGGTAGAATCGTTGGACATAATTAGCCGATGTCGGTCAGGGGTCAGATAATTGGGGTAGATGACTAGCGCGTTGACACTGAAAGTGAAGGGTCGCACTCGTATTGGATGAAAAGGTGAGGCAGCGTGAATGGCAAATAAGGTCTGGCTAAACTAATCTGATCAATAAACAGTAGGGTGAGGATGAATCCGAATAGAAATAGTTATACACAGAAAGGAAACAGATGGCGCTATGAACGATACAAGATCACCAATGTAAGAAATAACCCGGTCTATTGCCAGTAGAGTTAGAAAGAACAAAGTAGCCGCAAGAACAGAACGTGTCCCTAACTTTCAATCGTAAGTTGCGCCGTACTTTTTACAAGTCATAAACAATATAACTAGATAATCATGGGTGAAATCTCGCTCCCCATAATTTTCCTAAATCCGACTAGCAAAACCGATATCACGTGGTTAAGAACAAAAACAAACTCTATTAATTTACACTGAAAGTTTCAGTGTATTTCAGCGCACCACAATAGGCCGCACATAATTTCTCATATATATGTACAGTAGATGTGCTAACTCCATGAAATGTCAACCAAAATTTCGAAATGCGTTCTCGTTTCGAAAAGATAAATTAAGTAGGGTTGTAAAACTAATCATGATGCAGCATAAATGTATAATGATTCAGTTATCTCAGGGTGTCGGCTTTCGAAAGAACGTATTTTCGGCTGCATGCAAGATCTATACTCTGCAAAAAATAACTACTTAACTAGTATGCAATTTTCTCATTGATTTTCGATGCCCTTGAAGATTTAATTATATTTCATGGAAAACATGCACAAAAATATTCATTCCTTTACTTATTCGGTAGAAAATCACGTCTTTTTCCAATTTCATACTCAAAAGAAGAGTATAATTCCGTTTTAAAAAACTTTTCTAATTCCCGAATAATTTGGAACCCGACCAGCTATTACACGTGCATTCAGGGTTTCAAAACTACAAGCTGTATATTTTCCGTGCACGGAAAACCATGAATTTCTCTACGGTGTTAAGAGACGACCAAATGAGGTTCATAAAATAAGGCAGTGGATTTGAGCAATATTGCTAACTTTACAAGCCACATTCGTAAATGCAGATACATGACGTTTCATGAACGGCCATTTAACGGTATTAAAAAATCTTACAATTAGAAACTTTTTTTAAAACCGGATTATACTCTTCTTTGAGTATGACTTTGAAAGGACCATGATTTTCTACCGAATAAGTAAAAGAATGAATATCTGTATGCAGGTTTTCCATGAAATATAATTTAATTTTCAAGGGCATCGAAAATCAATGAGAAAATTGCATACTAGTTAAGTAGTTATTTTTGCGGAGTATAGATCTTGCACGCAGCCGAAAATAAGTTCTTTCGAAAGCCGACACCCTGAGATAACTGAATCATTATACATTTATGCTGCATCATGATTAGTTTTACAACCCTACTTAATTTATCTTTTCGAAACGAGAACGCATTTCGAAATTTTGGTTGACATTTCATGAGTTAGCACATCTACTGTATATACATCGAGGAGGGAGGACAGAGAATGCGGGTAGATCGATACAGTACTGTTTCGGGCTTATTTTGCCTTGATTCAGCCAATCATAACCCCTACCAGCAGCTGGGACCAGAATTACGGAAATTCTACTCCCTACCCTGCATGCAGGGCATTTTCGAAGCGATTGCCCGACAACAAAACCCGTTTGTCATCATCATTGCCCACAAGCCGGCATACTTCCTGCTCGCAACACTATCCCATGTAAACGGCCTTATACCCAAAGAGCAGTAATCCAATGTCATCTACCGCATTCTGTGTGCTAACTGCTCTTGCGACTATGTTGGTCATACAGGCCAGACACAGCGAATCGCAACTGCAATCACTAACACCTCTATGTTAGCTCACTGACCTCTGCCCGCATGCCGGATCGGCGGCAGTTGCTGGCAATGAATATACCTTGGATCAGTTGGAAAACTTTCTCTCATAAGTGACCTCTTTAAAAAGCTCTTTAATAAGCCTAGTTGCTGACACAAGTTAAAGTACTTTACTTTTTCCAAGGTAAAGTCAAGGCAGAACTTGAAGCGTCTGAGTAAGGATTTTTTGCTGTAGAGGACACAGTTCACCTTTTTGTTTATTATAGAGTCTTTTTCACTTTATTTGTTGACTTTAAGGCTCTGTTCTAAGATTTTAGACGCACAACAAAGTGACCCCCTAGATACTGAGATATCGCAAAACTTGCTAATCTTCAGCCTGTTTCGTCCCCAAATTACACATTAACGGAAATTCGACCATTTAAAAGTATTATGCCGTATGCTTAGAGTTTAACATAGTCATTTTTTGAAGGAACCGTTCTCGGTTATTCATTGAATATTCGCAAAGGGCAGGGAAATATCAGAAAGTTTTAGCAATGATTGGCAGGACTGACTTATATGGCCCCCTAAACAGGACATGGAAAGAGAAATACGCCGTCCAATCAATAAAGGCGGACCTGAGCATAATTCTAGAAAGGGCAAAATATTCCTGTGCCCTAATCCCAACAGTAACCCTAATATAGAACTAAACCGTTGCCCCAATCCTGATTCTAACTTAATACTAACCCTTAAATCGCCAGTTGGCACTACCCTCTACCTTAGCCCTAAGCTTGACACCGACTTAGGTAATCGTTATTTTCAACTGTGGCCTTAAACCTAATCCTTAACCTAACCCTAATCCAAACTTTAGACCTAGTCCTAATTTCACGGGAAAATGGCCCAAAGTAACTCGTATTGCGGGCGGTTCCTAATCTCACGTCCTGTTTAGGGGGTCACATAATTCATTCGTACCAAATGATTGCAACAACGCGTTATTCTGGCATTTTAGTGCATGAAATCGCACAGATTTGCTAATCTGACTTTTTTAATTAAGAAAACGTCTGGTTTTTTACAGTTTTCTTCATCTGATTTGTGCGGTGACAAAGTGTCAGTTTTCACTTACGGCCCGTTAGCTTGGTCCAACTTTAGTATTTAATTTAGCCCCCTCTCGCCGCAAAACATGTTCGGATGTGTGAACTCAATCTAAGTTTGTTATTAGAACAGGAAGCATCTTGAACACGGGTAACATAGATTTTCGTCGAAGTTTGTAGACATTTTAGTGAATAAAATCATTTATCAACATATTCTGAATTTTCAAACGACGTTCTCCGCAACGGGTAGGCGAATAAATGGCATGTTCGACATCTTATGTATCCAAAATTGGTCTTCTTTCCGCCATCGCTTTTTATAAGCAGGTCACATACTGTGTAAATATAGAAAGGTTCGTGCGCAGGACATTAGTTATTTTAAGCGCACTTGTGCTACAGTGAAAGTAGTACGGTGTTAGTTGCCATCACGTGTCAAGGTTAATGCCAGTAATTATGCTTAGCAAGTTAGGAACGCTAATGAAATTCCGAAAACAAAGGTTACTGGAATACTGTAGTAGTATTGTAATAGCAAATAATTGTCGGCACTAGGCGCTGAGACGATGCCAGTCGGATAGCATTATAATGCGCAGTGCTATACTGATCCAACTTCCTCTCACAAATCTCACGGGTGTGGACATAACGACACCCACAGAAGCAGCACTCCCAGTTTCACTTTGTTGGAGAATAACTTTCGTGCGCTCAGTCTGGCCCTAAGCACACGTAATTTTGAGTGAATGCCATCGCAGCTTCGTTGTGGTTGCTAACTTGCAGAAGTCCCTAGGTTCGACACAGCAATCCTGGCCGCGCGTGATGCTGAATGTTTGTACCATATTGCCACGTAACTGTCTATACCTCAAGAGAAAGTGATCGAGATTAAATAATCGTGTTTCATATGGTGGTGAGCCATACCCAGTTACAAGTTTGGCTACACACCTTCGAATTTTTTCCAGGGTCTTCAGGCCTGGACGGCAAACTCCAGTTGCGGCCCTAGAAACGTTCGAAAGAATTCAGCGGAGCCGTCTTCATTAAAGTCAGATAAAGCCCGCCCGGAGAGGTACAGTTCCGGCATACCGGAATTGATTGCTTTTTGGCAGTGTGGCGATGGTTTGATGGAAGTCATGATCCACGCACACACAAGTCCTTCTGGGCGTCCATAGCATACTTTTAGACAATGTCAGTCCGGGGTTTGTCTAGAACGCCTTTTTGGCTCCTTCCCAAAGATGTGCAAGCAGTACTACCCCTGAAAAGGGCTACTTAGACATATCGGACGACTACAGATATCCCCTATGTGTCAGCATTGGTTAATGGAAGGTGACTTGAATTGACCGGCGTCGTTTTCGTGATTGC